GAAATGGCAGCGTGGCCATCCCCCCTGGAGGGTGATTTCTTGCTTTCTGTCTCTCTGTCTCTCTCTCTCTCTGTCTGTCTGGCAAGAACATGCGCCCTATAGCAAAAACCTCTCCAAAAAAAAAAAAAAAAAGAAATGCTCTAGAGAAACCGAGTGTGAAATTAGGCATGGAACTCATTCAGGCTGGGGAGGACACGTGGAAGAGTCTGGACATTGCGCCCCTTTCGTACCCTCGAGGAGTAACTATAAATAGGCAGCTATCAGGGCCCTTGTTTCCTTTGGAGTACCCACAGCACTTTCCTTTTCCCTTCATTTCTAGGAGATAGCATAAGCACCAGAGAAGTCAGGAGGAGGAAGGAGAAAGGGCAGTGCATGGTTTTGTTTAAAAAAAAAAAAAAGAAGAAATGAAAATATACTATACAGTCCAACCAAGGTAACTAGTGAGTTTACCCATAGATGAATGTAGCTATTCAGTTCACTCGTGTTGGGCTGTTGTGTCAGATTTGCAGTGAGCATTGAAAAGCAATCACTCAGTCGAAGAAAAGATGTACTGTGTTGAGGCTGCATTTATCCAGGCTCATGTGCATGTATGTATACAGATTATGTAATTTTTTTCCCCTAGGGACTCAATAGATCTTGATAATCCACAGGAGAACATTAAGGCCACCCAGCTCCTGGAGGGCCTGGTGCAAGAGCTGCAGAAGAAGGCGGAGCACCAGGTGGGGGAAGATGGGTTTTTACTGAAGATCAAGCTGGGCCACTACGCCAAGCAGCTCCAGGTGGGTGTGAACTCTGAGCCACACCTAGGGCTCTTCCCTAGAAGAGCTTCTTCCTTGTTTTACTACTTCCTACAGAGACTCATCTCCAGCTTGGCATTGTAGAGCTGCATTGCATGCATGGGGTTCTTGTTTGATTTTGCGATTGTGGCTTTTTTAATAAACTTTTTTACTTGAAAATAACTTTAGACTTACAGAAAGTTGTAAGTCTGATATAAAGAGCCACCAAAGGGACCGGCAGGTGGCATGGTGGTTAAGGTGCTGGGCTCCCATGTGGCCAACTGCAGTTCAAGTCTCAGACCTGGTGTCTCGCTCTCTCTCTCTGGGGCACACTTGCCCTATTGCGAATTTAAAAAATAACAATGGGGCCAGCAAGTGGCATGGTAGTTGGATTGCTGGACTCCCACATGGCCTATTGTGGTTTGAGTTCTGGTCATGGTGGCTTGCTTTCTCTCTCTCTCTGGTGAGTGTACATGCCCTGTAACAAATTTTAAAATAATGATAGTAAATAAATAATTCTTTAAAAATAATGATGATGAATATATATAATCAATGATTAAATAAATAATTCTTTTTTAAAAAGAACCACTAAATATGCTCGTCACCTATTGCTATTGATATTTGCATTTTATTTTAAGTTTGCTATAGTGTGCTTGCTGGAGAGAGACAGAAAAAGAAAAAGAGAGAGGGAGTGCGAGAAATCACCACTGCCCCTCCCCAGGGATAATGGCCATGGCTCAATACCTTCTCCTCCTTTCTACTCTTGGTATTTTGGGTAGGCACATAGGCACACATGCCCAGCGTGATTTTCTCCTTTTTTTTTTTAAAGAGAGATTTTTGCTATACGGTGTGTGTGCTCACCACAGAGACAGAGAGAGAGACAGAAAGCAAGCAATCACACCCGAGAAGGGATGGCCACACCACAACCCCTTCCCCTCCATTCTCCTCTTAGGATCTTGGGCACGCACGCACATGCGTCCAGTGTGAATCTTAAGCCACTGGATTCAAGACTCAAACCATGGTCGACTACATGGGAGTCCAAAAACATATCCATTACACCCCTGTGATTTTCAAGCCACTGGGTCTGATACTCGAACTGCTCAGTCGGCCATGTAGGATCCAGCTGCCTTAACCTACATGCCACCTGCTGGCCCATCATTTGCTTTCTCGTATTCTCCTTATTCTCTCTCTCTCTATCTTCCCACCCCACGCACATACTGTTTAGTTATGTGAGAGTAAGTTCAATACATAGTGGCCCTGTACTCATCAGTGCTTCAGTGCGTGTTTCCTAAGAATATGAACTTTCTCTTACATGATTATAATGTTGGAATTGACTTCAGTAAATTTAACATTTCGATAATACTTCTAGGTAGTCGTCTATCTATAATTCCATTTATGTTTTCTAACTGATTCAAAATGTCCTTTAGGGTATTTTACTCCCTGCGGTCCAGGATCTCATCCAAGATCACATATGGCATCTGTTGTCATGTCTTTTTAATCTCTTTTAATCCAGAGCTGTTTTGCAACCTTACTTTGTCTTTCATTACGTTGATATTTTAAAATTATTCACCTAACCCCTGTTTTTTTTTAAGATAAAATGTTCCTCATTTGGGGTTGGCGTAATGTCTCCTCCTGATGAGGTTAATGTTGCACATCCCTGGTCAGAATTCTAAGCAAGTGATGCTGTGTCTTTAGGGTGTCACCTTCAGAGACCTACAGTGTCCCCCTCCGCTCATTGATAATTTTGATTGCCCAGTTAAGATGGTGCCCGTCTTGTGGCCTTTTTAAAGCTTATTTATCCTGTTGCCCAGCATGTTGCCCTAATATGTTAGGCAAATTAAGATGCAAGAAGTAATCTTACCTTTTTACTGTTACTGGGTTTTCGGCAATATCCTTCCTTGTTCCCATGGGCATGGGAAGAGCAGCAGTTCCTGTGATTATGCTACTGTGGCTGTGGCTCCAGGGGCCTTTTTTTTTTTTTTTTCCATGCTGTAGAGTGCATGTACTCACCAGAGACAGAGAAAGAGAAAGAGAAGGAAAGTAAGAAATCACCCTCCAGGGATGGCCACACCCCAATCCCTTCTACATTCTCCTCTTGGGATTTCGGCATGCGCACACACCCACCTGGCATGATTTGCAAGCCACAGGGTCCAGGACTCTAACCGTGCAGCTAGCCATTTGGGATCCAGCCGCCTTAACCTCCACACTACCTGCTGGCCCCTTCAGCAGTCCTGTCTATCACGAGAACTCCCTATCCTGAGGCAAGGGCAGGTGCCATAGCATGGAGTGGAACAAAGTGACATCTACTCTTGGATTCTTTCAGAATACATATGATCGCTGCCCCATGGAGCTGGTGCGCTGCATCCGCCATATCTTGTACAATGAACAGAGGCTGGTTCGAGAAGCCAACAATGTGAGTGTCCCATGGGTACAGGGAGGGAAAAGGAATTCTTACTCACCTCTCTGGACTGACTCAGTGTAGATCTCACGATATGTCTTTAGAGAGAACATTGTCGTGAGGGGCATGAGAGAAATAGAAGATATAGTCCTGCTCTTAACAATTTATTACCTTGATGATATCGCAACCACAAAACAATGTGGGCAAGGGGAAGATAACTTCACCCCAACTATTGAATAGTTTTTGAGGAACGGCATGCTCATATTAGGTGAAACTACTTAGGAAAGATTCTTTAGCTCCTCTGAGCCAGGTGTTAAAGGGAATGGATCAGACCAGGTCACTTACATGGCTGGACCCACGGAGGCCTTGTTTATGCACACACACACCCCATAATTTCATCTGGAGGTCTTCAGGATGCCTATGGAAAGTTCCACTTCTTCAATGGTGGAAGCAAATTATTCTTTCACAAGAATATCTTGAATGAGGACACAGACGATGTGTTCACACAGCCCTGTCCCCAACACCTAGCACAGGCTATGGCATCAGGTCAGTGAGTAGATGTCGAATGAGGGGTCATTACTAGTAGGACAGCCCAGGTGACACCCAGGACATGGTAGATTCTAGTCTCTCTCTGAAGGGAATTAGATGGGCCCTGTTTGGGACCCTGTTTGGGATCTGGTGGAGGCCAGACCTAAAATAGTAGTTCCCACTATGCTTGTGAAAATGCCGTGTGTTCTGTCAGGTCTTATTCCTCCACTTTTCTCACTTCACCCCAGTTCTCACAAATGACTTTACATCTCTTTCTGACTCAAAATCGAGCTGCAATGGGTCTCATCCCAGTTGGAGGAGCGGGCATCGGCCTTTCCTAGGGATGAAGCCTGAGGCCTCCTCCCACCCCCACTACCCTACATTCTTTTCTGACCGGTCTCCAGGGGAGTTCTCCAGCTGGAAGTCTTGCTGATGCCATGTCCCAGAAACACCTGCAGATCAACCAGACGTTTGAGGAGCTGCGGCTGGTCACGCAGGACACAGAGAATGAGCTGAAGAAGCTGCAGCAGACGCAGGAGTACTTCATCATCCAGTACCAAGAGAGCCTGAGGATCCAAGGTGAGCACAGGGAAAAGAGTGAGGACTGGAAATAACTCAGGTCAGATTGGATGAGAACCTGTTTCCATTCTGAGGCATTGACCTTTCTCCGAGTGGCACAGAATTATTTGTGTTGAAGACAGCACTAGGAGGATGAGGCTTAGGAAGGAGAGAAGACATGGCACCTGCCCTTGGAGGGTGTGGGGGTCTCACCCAGGCTTCCCACACCTGGGGAACTCTCAGCTGTGGGGGGAAGACATTTCCTATTTGGAGAAGGAGATTGGAGTCTGAGTAAATAGTACCAGACGTTATTCTTTAGTATAGAGAGGACTACAAAAGGTTTTAGGAAAATTGGAGTTAAAGTATGAATTTAGGGGTGACACAATGGTAAGATAGGATGCACTTCCACATGGGAGGTTCCTGGTTCAAGTCCGGAGACCTCTCTGAGTACACTGGAACATACTTGCCCATGATCTGGGGCTGACTGAGGCTGGGGATGGGTTGTGGTTTCAAGACCATGTTGGTGGGCTAGCCTGTGGTGTGGAGGTTAAGGTGACTGGATCCCACATGGCCGAATGTATGGTTTCAGTCCCAGACTTGGTGGCTTGAAAATTACACAAAAATTGGGGCACAAGTATGTGCATGCCTCAAATCCTGAGAGTGGAGAATGGATTATAACATGGCCATCCCACATGAGGGGTGCTTTCTCATTCTCTCTCTGTCTCCCTCTCTCTCTCTCCCCCTGGCAAATGCACACACCCTATAACAAACTAAAAAAAAAAAAAAAAGGTCCACGTTAATGTTACTATTGTATCTTGTTCTCCCCCCACCTCACTCATGGAAAAAATAAATAATCTTTTAAAAAACAGAAGTACTTGTTTATTTTGGTTCAGAAATATTTTGAGATTCATGCATAGTTTTTTCATAGTAAGCATTTTCTATGAACTGTTTGAAGGAACCCCACCCCCATTTGTTAAATAGTAGGCACTCCTGAAATGACTAATAGGAAATATGTATTATAATTATATGCTTAAAGAAGAACCTTTCTCGGGGCCAGCAAGTTGCATAGTAGTTAAGGTGCTGGACTCCCACATGGCCGACCACAGTTGGAGTCCTGGACCTGGAGGCTTGATTTCCTACTTTCCCTTTCTCTCTCTCTCTGGTCAAATTAAACAAGTAATAATGATAATAAATGAAGTAAAATAATTCCCTTTTTTTTTTGGAGAGGTTTTTGCTATAGGGTACGTGCGCTCACCAGAAAGACAGAGAGAGAAAGACAGAAAAGCGAGAAATCACCCCCCCCGGGGGGGTTGGCCACACCTCAATCCCTTCTCCTCCATTCTCTTCTCAGGATCTTGGGCATGCATGCACACGTGCCCCGCGTGAGTTTAAGCCTCCAGGTCCAGGACTCAAACCATAGTTGACTACATAGGAGTCCAGCGACATAGCCATTACACCAACTGCTGGTCCCTCTTTTCTTTGTTTTTTTAAAAAAGGAAAAGAACCTTTCTCAATGCTGCAATCCTTCAGCCTCCAGTAGTTTTTGCTATAGGGCTAGGGCCACTATGCCCAAGAAGAACCTTTCTAAGCAGGGATAGTATAAGGGCCAAGAAGCTGATGGTGGTGAACAGCTTTTAATGTTTGATTATAGTTGTTCAGAGTCCCTTCCTGGGACAGAGTACCCTCATGCTCCTCAGGGAGTCATTGTGACAAAGCCCCCTAGCTGGGTAAAAACCCTGCTTGGCACCTGGGGCACGGACATCAGACAGTCTTGACGCCATGGAGACTCACCAGCGCCCCCTCTCGACCCTATGGAAAATTGCAGTTTCAGCTTTCAGTTTCCTCTTTTTGCTTGCGGGTAGCTTGGCAGCCACCAGCCCATTCCACACACATCCATAGCCCATGTGTGCTCCTCTAAGCCGTACGTGGGCTCTACCTTGCAACTAGGTTAATGTTATTTATTGACTGCTTCTCCACTATTCTAGAAGTCTTCTGGAAAGAACTATATCTTTTATGTCTGTACCCTAAAGCCAGCACCTTCTTGAAACGTCATAGATATTCATTAAAGGTGGGCAGGATGACACTAACATGTCTTCTTCCCATCTGAACCCATCCTGAACTGACCCTCGAAAAAAGAAAGCCACTTCCTGGAGTGGGAAGAGGAGATTTCAGGCTAGTGTTTCTACCTGAGACCTTTGATTGACTAACAGTCTCTATGACCCTGTACTTGGAGTCCTGGTTCCTGCGTGTGGCTTAGGTTTGGATTTCGGGTAGGGCTCACTGGGTGATACCTGCACCGTCCCATGTGTAAAGCTCCCCCTTCAGAGACAGAGTGTCGATCTACTTGTCCCTTTGCCACACGTCTCCCTGGCCTCCTTCCCAGAAACATCCACAAGTTGCCTCTGGGTCAGTCCCACGCAGAGGCTGAACCCAGGTGTGGGGATCCCACCACCTCCCTGCAGGGCACAGATTCCCAGGTGGTGGACCAGACTGCTCTGATGTGCCCGAACAATCCTACTTCTGCTCAGGCCCTGTGCTGAGCTTGGAGCTGCATTCCTGAGTTCTTACTCTGGGCTTTTCCTGGAGGTGCAGGGTTGCTTTGGTCTGTGCCAGCTTGTGTGTTCTCGGGGGTAGGGAGCAGGTCAGTGTGACATGGCCCTCAGAGGCCAGCAGGGACTTGACGGAGACACACTGATGCACACACCTTCTGGACTCAGCCCCAGGAAGGACCCTGGGCTGTGCACACAGGTTACTGGAAAGGGCGAACTGACCCCTCTCTCGGAGGGAGGGAGGGGTGGGCACCCAGGGGAGGGAGGAGGTGCAGGTGCCACTCACTGTCAGATGGTCGAGTTCTTAGGTGGGTTATGGGTACATAGGTGTTCCCTGGATCACTCTTCCTACTTGCCTGTGCCTTAAGTGTTTCATGACAGATACTTTGAAAAAGGTCCCCAAGCCTCGGTCCCCACAACTCCTGCCATTGGTGGGATTCCCAGCAGCCAGAGTGGAGTGGTGCTGCCTCCCTGCCCTCCCTGTCCTCAGAGTTTCTGGCTGGGTTTGTGTCCCCAGAGGGCTCTCCCCACCCCATCCTGGCTGCTGAGCTCAGGGAGACTAACCTGGGCAAGTGTGTTAGGCATTTCTGGAGAAACAGTCATCCCAGAGGAGAGACAGCCTGTGCTCCGGAGGTGACAGCCCTGGGCCAGCCTCTGGCTGAAGCTGTGAGAGGGATGAGGCTGGGCAGTCATCTCTGTCACCTTCATTAAAGTCCTGTTGCCGAGTAAAAGGCCCCAAGGTGGTGACAACCCTGGGCCAGTCTCGGCCTCTGGCTGAGGCTCCCCTGTGAGAGGGACATCTCTGCCACCTTCATTTCAGTACTGCGGCCCAGTAACCAATAAGAACTGACCTCACGCAGGATTCAGGCCCTCCAGGGAGTTTCTGAGCATTTTCCTTATTGCCACTTAAGTCATCTCTACAATGCATGAGCAAGTTCTGTGATTCTCTTGTTTCACCCTAAGGCATAAGAATGTAGAGACTTATCCACATTCACTCAGCTGGTAGATGCAGAGCACCCTTGTAACCCAGGGTCTGGCTCCCGCTGGACCGGTGCAAGGAGGGCTACAAGGCCAGCTGTGGGGTAGGGACTCGGGGGACACAGGAAACACACTCCTCAACTACACCCTGAGTGTGTGTGGGTGGGCCTGAGGCTGGTTTGAAGAGACCATTGTCTTTTGGGCTGCTAGGCTGCTAGGAAACCTTGTGGCCTTGTCTTTTGGGTTGCTAAGCTGCCAGGAAACCTTGATGGCTGTCTGACCCCTGAGGATCTTGCTCAGAGCAGCCCCTGGAATGAGTATGGGGGACCCTGAGAGATGATGGTCACAGGTGCCCTGTCCCCTCCTGCAGCCCAGTTTCCCCCGCTGGCCCAGCTGAACCCCCAGGAGCGGCTGAGCCGGGAGACGGCCCTGCAACAGAAGCAGGTGGCCCTGGAGGCCTGGCTGCAGCGCGAGGCACAGACGCTGCAGCAGTACCGCGTGGTGAGTGCCACCCCGCCGACTCCTCCAGGCCCAAGTCCCAGCCCAAGGCTCAGGGACCAGCTGCAGGGGTGAGCCGGGGGAGCAACCCTGGAGAGCAGGAGGCCAGACCCTTCTTTCATACGTGGCCTGTGAGGCAGAGCCATCTGGGAGAGGGAGCGGCCGACTTGGCCCCTTCCCCGCTCTAGGCGAGGCCCTGCGTGGAGGTGTTCCCTGGGAGCCAGCAGGACCTGCTGTGTCCCTTCCCTCAGGAGCTGGCCGAGAAGCACCAGAAGACCCTGCAGCTGCTGCGGAAGCAACAAACCATCATCCTGGACGATGAGCTGATCCAGTGGAAGCGGCGGCAGCAGCTGGCGGGGAACGGCGGGCCCCCCGAGGGCAGCCTGGACGTGCTGCAGTCCTGGTACTGGGGCGCCAGCCAGGGTGGGTGGAGGGACCAATGCTGCATCTGCCTCTGCGTGGCACCTGTGGCTCCCGTGATGTGACAGCTCTCATCTCCCCAGGGGACCTGGTTCCTCATACAGATGCTCCCCTCTCCTGCCACCTCCCCCAGGAGGGCAGCCTCCACTTTGGGGAATGGCCAGGGCTCAGGTGTGCAGAGTGATGCTTTGGCTGGTGGGGCTCGATGGGCCACCCCTGCTGTGTTACTCTGTGTTTCTGGAAAGCAGGGAGTTCTGCTCTGGGCCAGGGGGTGGCTGGGGGGTGGCACACACATGAAGTCCCACTGGGGTGAGCCTTGCCGGGTGAGAGTGGGACCGTGCCTGGGGATCTCCCAGCCTGGGCGTCACCCAGCCTCTGGCCTAGGGTGGGGCAGAAGCCATTGTCCTGCTGTTGCCCGGGGCTCCCGTGCAGGTGTGAGAAGCTGGCCGAGATCATCTGGCAGAACCGGCAGCAGATCCGCAGAGCCGAGCACCTGTGCCAGCAGCTGCCCATCCCCGGCCCCGTGGAGGAGATGCTAGCTGAGGTCAACGCCACCATCACAGACATCATCTCAGCCCTGGTGACCAGGTGACCGCTGCCTCCTGGCTACACCCAGCCTGGCGGGGCAGCTCCCATAGCTGGCGTGGAGGGGCTGCGTCTCAGCCCTTGGCTCTCTGCCTCCCGCCCCCTCTCTGCTCCGTCACGTTCTGTGGAGCTGGGGCTGCTCTTGCCCAGTTTCTCTGGTGGGCCTTACGTGGGATGCCCTTGTGCCCTGCTCCCGTGCCAGCTGCTGAGTACGCCTCCCCCTGCCCCGCTCCCCAAGACTGTGCGTGGCCTCTCTGGGAGCAGAGCCTGGCCCACCTGCTGAGCCCCAGGGAGATCCTCCCGCCCCCGCCCTTTTTCCCTCCCCTGGCCCCGTCTCAGTGTCCGCCTGGTCCTTGCGTCCCCTGCAGCACATTCATCATCGAGAAGCAGCCCCCTCAGGTCCTGAAGACCCAGACCAAGTTCGCAGCCACCGTGCGCCTGCTGGTGGGCGGGAAGCTGAACGTGCACATGAACCCCCCGCAGGTGAAGGCGACCATCATCAGCGAGCAGCAGGCCAAGGCTCTGCTCAAGAACGAGAACACGCGCAAGTAAGCGCCGCTGCTGCTTACTCTGAGCTGCTCTCTGTGGGTCCTTGCAGCTGGAAGGAAGTAATTCTGCCTTCAGGGTCAGATTCCATTTGCCACTCTGACCTCTTCTGGATCAGAGAAAGCATATAGAAGGTCCTTCTATAAGAGTATGATGTTGTGTCATTCAGTAAAGATACCTCTAGAAATATTACTTAAGTCTGAGGGGATCAGAACCAGCAGTTAGTGTAACGGCTATGTTGCTGGACTCCTATGTAGCTGACCGCAGTTTGAATCCCAGACCTGGTGGCTTAAACTCATGCCGGGCACGTGTGCCTGTGTGCTCAAGATCCCAAGAGGAGAATGGAGGAGAAGGGATTGCGGGGGGTGATTTCTTGCTCTCTGTCTTTCTCTGTCTTTCTGGTGAGCGCACGCGCCCTATAGCAAAAACCTTTCCAAAAAAATATTTGAGGGGATCTTCATAAATTCATGGAAAATGCATATTATGGATAAAAACTATGCATGGACTTAAAAATATTTTGGTACTAAAATAAATGTATACTTTAATTTCATTTTTCTCTAAAAAAATGAAAATTTAAAATACAAAGGCCCCTCAGCTTTTTTAAGAGAGCTTTTTTGCTGTAGGTTGCATGTGCTCACCAGAGAGACAGAGACAGAAAGCTAGAAATCACCCCCCTGGGGGGGGGAGTGGCCACTCTGGAATCCTTTCTCCTCACTTCTCCTCTTGGGGTTTTGGGCATGCATACACAGGTGCCCAGCTTGAGTTTTAAGCTCCCGGGTCTGAGATTCTAACCACAGTCGACTACGGGGGAGTCCAACAACGTAACCATTGCGCCATCTGCTGGTCCTGTCCCCTCATATTTTATTTGGCTGATAGCTCCTCTAGATGACATGTTTTACTAACCTTCTTTATTTCTTCCTACTCTAAATATCCTCCCTACCCCATGTGCTCCGAGGCCCTGATTGAAGCCCATCTCTGTCTGGTTTGCAGTGATTACAGCGGCGAGATCCTGAACAACTGCTGCGTCATGGAGTATCACCAGGCCACAGGCACCCTCAGCGCCCACTTCAGGAACATGGTGAGGCTGGGAGAAGAGGAAACACAGTTTGTCGCTGTCCATTCGAGGGCTTTATCGTCTTCCATTTCTCCTTCGTAGTCCCTGAAGCGAATCAAGAGGTCTGACCGTCGCGGAGCAGAGTCGGTGACAGAAGAAAAATTTACAATCCTGTTTGAGTCACAGTTTAGTGTTGGTGGGAATGAACTGGTCTTTCAAGTCAAGGTAAAGTCCTTCCTCCGCTCTGTGTGTGTGTCTATGTGTGAGATACTTCACGGGACAAAAGACCATGGGTCAAATTGTATCTTCTTTTTGAATATTGATTAACAGAAAATGGGGAGGCTACATCCTTAGAATTGTATGTCTTAGAGTCTCCTAAGACATGAATAAGTAATAACAGACTGGAATAACTGCAGGTGTAGGTAAAAAATGAATCATGAGAGACATTACTCAGCATAAATTGAGTGAAGAGCGTGGTAAGATTTAAACATTTGCTGCTTGTTATTTTTTTTTCCCAGAAATGTTATTATACTCTTTTCGCTCTTGTTTTCCATAGAATTTTGGGAAACTGACTCCATCCTTCAGAAATATCTACGTAACGTGACTTGTAAAAATATCAGCCATGTCTGAGATTACGCCAGTGTGAAAAGTCATTTTATTCATAGGACTGTTCCAATTCTATATTCGAGGGTGACATTTACTGCAACTTGGAGAACAAAAGTATTGTGACAATAAGAAAAACAGAAAGGGACGCACTTGAGGCTGTGAGAGCTCAGTCTCCTCTCTGTCTTTTTAGACCCTGTCCCTCCCAGTGGTGGTGATTGTTCACGGCAGCCAGGACAACAATGCGACGGCCACCGTCCTCTGGGACAATGCGTTTGCAGAGCCTGTGAGTGGATTCCTTGGGCTTGTGGAGCTCAAGATCTCAATGCTGGTGTCATGAATATCTTTCATATTTCTTCTTCCAAAAAACATTTTAAAAATGCTGTTATCCTAGGAGAGAAAGAATGTGGTAAGCGGAAGAGATATGAGCTTAACAAATGAGGCCGAGACCTCTGCCACCTCCTCACTCTGTGGCCAAGGGCAGCTCACTTGATCTCCCTGAGCTTTAGTTCCCAGTAAGAGTCTGCAGTACAGGGACAGTGTCATACAGTGGCATGGGTGGGAAGATTAAGTCTGATAATATGGAAAATGCTCATCACACAGACAGTACTCAATACATGTTCATTTGAATCCTAGGTAAGACCGTGAATGGGATTTGGGATTCCTAGGTTCCTTCTGGAAGTGGGACCTCTCAGGAGGTCACTTTAGCTTAGAAGCTGCTGTATGTCATCTTGCTTTTAATAAAGGAGAATGACTTTAAATGTCCTTTCCAGATTTTAGATTCCGTGATTTGTACCAAGTCTCTCATGAGGAGAGACCGAAGGCATGGATATAGGTTTGTGGGTGTATGTGCCTAGTGCTATCTGAGTACCCCTAGAGCACTCTCTGAAGCATTGCCCAACATCTCAGTGGACAGAGGTCTATGCAGTACATACTTCTAGTACAGAGGAGTCCGCAATGCATCAGAGAAGGGTTAGCACTAGACAGGCCCCAGAGTGTAGTGGTTAAGCACTGAGCAGTGAAGGCTGGATCCCATAGGGTCGACTGTGGCTAGGATCCTAATGGGGTCGAAAAGTGGTGAAAAATGCAGCGTCACTAGGCCCCATTGGGGTGGGGTGGGGGTGCTTTCTCCCCCCCACCCCCCCCC